TCAGTTTAATTTATGCATCTCAGATTAACCTGCAAAGACTAAATCAATTTAGCCCCAGACTTTTTGACTGTCTGTACCTAGATTGTGGAGTTGTACTTGAGTACAGTTTTTACAAGCATCCAGTGCCAGCTGTACAGTGGGTGTTTTCTGGCTAAAGAATATAATGGTAAACACATCATTTACACCAGAGCTCAATGGCACAATCTAATGAAAGGTATAAAATCTGTATATCGACCTCTTAGACACTGATGTCAACATAAGGGCTACCAGGGTGCTGTGCAAGCATAAAATAATGATCTGGTCAAACAAAAATGATATTTTTCAGATGTAAGAACAGGACATTTCTTTCTTGCATCTGAGAAAGAAAATAGTCTAGAAACAAAAAGAAAAAAAAAAACGGGGAGTGCTCTAGTTAACATTTCTGATGCCTTGCTGAAAGAGAGAACTTTTTTGTTGAATAGGAGGGGATGAATCAGGAAAACTAGAGATAAAATTCACCTGACCCCTGTGAGAGAATGGCTAATCAGGCCTTCATAAGAGAACAATGGGGATGCGAAACTGCTCATCTGCAAACGGCACTTACAGATTCATAATATTAATATTCTATTATTTTGTAGAAAAGTTAGGGAGAGTATACACAAAGATGTATACCAAGGATCAACTTGCTTTGTGTCCCAGAAACACCAGTGCATATCCTTCAAGTAAATATGGTAACGTTTTCACAGCTTTAAGACTCACATAATACAGAAACCTAATATAAAACTAGTTTAAGTCTTGGGTCTTGTGCTTGCCACAGTAAGAATAAAAAAAAAACTGATAAAAGGATTGCACACACAACATTCTGCTCTGCAAACTACAGTGTCTGCAGAATGCACAGAAATGAATTCATCTTAGGTGAATGCAAACATTGTTCTTCAACACTTCTACAGTAAAAGAGAACCACAGGAGCTATGTTGCTTAGATAAAAATCTGTGGTTACAATAAAGAGAAACAGCATGAGGAGTCAGTTAATGAGAAGTGCAAACCAAGCACAGCCCACTGCTTAATCAAGCCAGAGAGAGAGGCTCCTTATGTTTTCAGCACAGGAAGAAAAGTTGTACTCTCCCCACCATTTTAGTTCCTGGCTACCACCCATATCTACGGGATAAAAATGTGGAAAGGATGAGATCTAAATGACATAAAAAAAGAAATTGTAGTTAGAGAAATCAAGGTCCCAATGAAAAGATACTCTAGCTAGCTCAAAGCAGTAATAGCTTGAGCGGAGCCCTGTGCTAAGGCAAGTGATTCACCTTGCATTTCAGGCCTAGCAGAATTCCCCTCTGGTATGGCTGTATGCCTATTTTGCTAAGTAGGGTTGGGTATCTACCTTTCTGTCTGTTTCACTGTCAGCAGCATATAGAAGATTTATCCGAATCTTTATCTCAGATCACAGAACCATTGGTAACAGGGATGAAAATGACCTTGAGGTCATCTAATCCATCCCGCCACATAACAAGATCAACCATACCTGACAGATATTTGTCTACCCTGCTCTTAAAACCCACAATGCTACAGATTCCACAGCCTCCCTAGATAGCTTATTCCAGTGCCTAACAACCTTTACAGTAAGAAAGATTTTTTTTCTGATAACCAATGTAAACAGTTCTTGTGATTTATTCCTGTTTCTTTGGGAGTATACACATCGCCGTATCGTGACGTTGCTATGGTGCCGCGCTTTAGTATTTCATTTTGGAAATACTAAAGCACAACACAGCATGGGTGGTAATTGCGCTGTGTGCATGGTGCATGGGTAGATTTCACCACAATGTCCTCATAGCAGTGTGCTATACCTGGGGAGCATGCTGCTACAGCAATGTAGCTGGTGATCATATGTAGACATATGTGATTGCTATGTCACCATAATTCACTGTACAGCCCCATAGGGTGATGTGTAGACATGCCTTTTGTGTCCTATCCCCAGTGGATGTGAATGATAGTTTATGACCTTCCTCTTTGCATCTTTTATATATTTGAAGATGGTTTTCCCTTAGTCTTTTCTCAGGCAGATAAATAAATGGTTTCCAATTTACTGCTATAAACAGAAAACCACAAAATATCCCATATATATGTTTTAATATCAGCTTGATGTAGATCAGTACATCACTACCTAAATACTGAATTATTAATATATTGTTGAACATCCAATACTACTAATGCCTTATGTTTGTGGTCAAGAGGTGTTAAGAAAAGACATTATCCAATACATTGGTTTGCACTTATTTAACTCTGATTTTTTTCCTCACAACTTAGCAAACAACAAACTTTTCTTTTGTTAAATGAAAGTTTCTGGAGCATAACCCCATGGTAAGGTGTGGTTTTTATTTTATATTCTATGGCAGTCCAAATTCCATTTCCAAGACTCAAGGGATGTATGCAATTTTTAGGCATCTAAGTTATTATATTTCATGTTATGTAATGGACTGAATTGCAGGTACACAGCTACTGTTCTGCACTCTATGACTGTCTCCCACAGTATCAGTTTGGAAATTATTCAGTCCTGCCTGCCTTAGGGAGGTCCCCAAATCCAATTATGCTGTAGATACACAAAAACATAACATAATCCCCTGCAAAACAGGAAAAACCCAAAATCATGACCATGATTTAATACATGGCTGTGCATCTGTCCAGCCTAACTTCTGCCCAGAAACTACATGGTTAGGCACTTGACTTGACTGCTGATGCACCACACTGCACTAGAAAAACCTATCCATCAGCTTTGTGGGAGTGAATACCTAGCTGTTAAGGCTAGGTCACTGAGCAGCCAAGAAGGGAAGTATCTTAGTTACAGAAGGAAAACATGCAAAAGAGCTTGACACTATACCTCGGAGAGTGAATACTGCTGTCACAGGAGTATAAGCCCTTGCTTCTTCTGGGTTTGGACACATACATTTGGAATGGTTTCAAAAGGGGAGTGGCTGATTTGGTGTGCACAGCAGCTGCAATGTTCCAACAGTTGTGTAGGGACCTACTAAAATCATGATGGGAGTACGAGGTGCAGTAGCTCCTTTAATGTTGCTCAGTTCAGCATGCAACCACCCCCCACCAACCTCAGCCCCAGCAGCCCCCTGTTCACTGCTGATCAGCTAGGAGGCAAAAACGGTGGCATATTTAAAATCATGGTTTTTGCCTCCTGGCCAATCAGCAGCAAGTGGCAGCACCCCTCTGCCAGTCAGGGGCAGGGGGAGCATACAGCAAAATGGGCAAGATTAAAAGAGCCACTGCACAGTTTACTTCCACTGTGATTTCAGTAGGTCCCTAGTTATGTGTTGTTGATACATATGCAGCAAAACTGCTCCCACTTTAACCCTGGATGAAATACTGTTAAAGTTGGAGATGTTTTGATACATTTGTATCATTTTCAGCTTGTGTACACAAAGGTGGCCATGTAGAGAGGCCTCTCTACCTGGTCTTTTCTGACCTCATGAAAGCCCTTTATTCTGTCAACTGAAAAGCGTTGTGGAGAATCCTTTCAAAAGTACAGATGCCCACTGAAATTCATCACCATTCTTTGCCTTCTCTATGACAGTATGCAAGTGGTGGTTCTCAGTAATGGATCTAGCACAGATCCCTTTGGTTTAAGACGGGAGTTAAGCCAGGCTGCATCATCACTCCAACACTCTTCTTGATAGCCCTTACTGCAATGTTACATCTGCCCATTAACAGTGGCCAGACCCAAAATTCTCTCTATTTTAGGGCAATACCCTCCTCCCTGGTCCACATAATCTGCCTTCCTTTGGCTTGCTCTCTTCCTTTCATGATTCTTTCCTTTTGGCTTGATCATCTTTATGAGGAAGGGAATGGAAGGTAAGTTGGCTCTATATCTTAGTGAGTAGGGCACTTTACTAGAATAAGTACTAGGATTTAAACCTTGAATCCTAACCCTGAACAGAAATGGAGTTTTGTATTCAAATGACTGTTTGGGACAAAAATACACTTTCTGTAAAAATAAAAAACAATTTTTGAAAATGTTGACCTTGCAACATTTTCTGTTGATTTTCCAGTGGGAAAACTGAATCATCTCCCAGATCCACAACTCTGTTCTCAGCAATGTTAAAACAGAATAACTGATTTCCAAGATTCATGAAATATTCAACAGTTGGATATGCCTTTAATATAAGGAGGTCTAAGATCATTGTGAAGATTGCATGTGTGAGTGTGAACTTCATGCATCTGGCAAAATTATTTCTTCTGGTAACTGTTGGAGCTGGAAGTGAAAGCTTTCCGAGACACTCAACTGTGTTACTAACCATGCTTTAAGCAATATGAAGTAATAAGGAATCCAGGAAATCTGTTCTTTTATTCTAGTCTTTCTATGCTTTTCGGACTATAAAGTCATGCAACCAGTCACTAAACAAAGTTTTTATATGATTATTACATTACGGACTTTTTAATGCAGGATTTTACTTTCCTAGATGAATGACTTTATTGTCTATATTTTCCTCACTTTGTTTTTTCCAGAATACTGTACTATCACCAAAGAGATTATATCTCAGTATGTAAAAATAAAAAAAAATTTTAAAAATTCTGTAAATATTTTTTCAAGTATCCCCTTATCCCAAGTATTCCATTTTTAATGCTATGCCTCTCCCAGACATGGCATCATTGGATAAAATCTTTCGTAAAATGACACAACTTACTCAAAGGAGCAGCAACAGGAATAAAATATAGAGAATGTTTGTGCTAATTACACAGGTATCTAATGACATCAGATTAGATGGATATCTAATGACATCAGATTATATTCTTCAAGAAAAAAATGCTTTGAATGTCTTCCCACATTAAATTTAGTACAATAAAATAAATTAATATTTACCAGGAAGAAGCTTCCCTTAAAAAGACAAATGAATAAACACAATTTGTATTCAAATGAGCTTTACAATTGCTTACACACAGGAAAAGTTAAATCATATAGTCTCTTAATCTTTCCCCATGACAAAGAATGAAGTATTTGAAATCCTTACCATTTGCCTTTTTCATTTAAAAACTGTTGAACTGCATATCCAAACTGCTCATTTGAATGACCAGAAAATATTTTTGCTCCTGGGAGCCCAACATTGTATGCTTCACAGCAATTCTGAAGAATGTCTGTTAAAGTTAAACAGAATGATTAATATTACTGTGAATAGCAATTAAAGAAATAACTTAATTTTAGTGGGATCAAAATTCTCCCTGTGCCAAGTCATCTTGATACATCAGTTTTAAAAAGTGGCCTTTGACACAAACAATAAAAAGCAGTATTTCTCCCACCCTTACTCAACAGTGCCCATCCATCCACACATGATAATAAATGTCTTTCCAAATGAGAACTTGGATATATCTAATACTAAAGGCAGAGACTCCTGAATCATTAGCGAATTGCTTAACAAAAGTTTCAGTATAAGTATATTCATCAATGTATATTCATCAATGTAAGTGTTTAAGTGAAGACATACTTTAATTAAAGACATTCAAGAAATATAATTTAATATACTTTCTTTCAATTCTCCATTACTCTGGGACAAATGGTAGACTTCCAATATAGGCCTTCCAATGGACTGCTGACGCACACTAAAATGGAAATCCACCATGGAAAATAAGTATTTTAAACTATGTGTATCCTGGTGGCTTCTCACTCTTTAATGCGGCATTTGAAATATTAGAATATCATCAAATTAATTTAATCCTTTATCATAAAATGTCTATGGCTTCAAACAGAGGCATAAGAAGTATTGCCAACCCCCCCATGTCAAAAAGCATGAGACAAATGCTAAAAAATCAAGAGATTTGGAATGTAAATCATGAGATGCTATTTTGAAGTGTGTGTGTGGGGGGGGTTGTTATTTGTGAAAGTGTGTGGGGGGGTGGTTGTGTGTGGTGGCAGGTGGAGACCAGGGTGGGTGGGGCTCACACCCTGGCAGGATGCAGGATACTGTGGGTCGGGAGTGAGGGGCAGCAGCAGGGCTGGAAGGGCTGTGGCTTGGGAGTGAGGGGCAGACACACACACGCACAGACACAGTTGTCCACAGCTCTGTTGCATGACATGCCCTGGCCCCAAGGTCCTGTTCACCCCAGCCCCTGCTCCACTCCCTCCTTCACTATGGGGACCTCAATCTGCACCCCCTCTCCACTGACTTACCAGCTTGGTGCTCTCTACATGCACCAGAAAAAAAAGTCCTGAGATTTGATCTATCAGGAGATCATGAGTCAGGGTTAATTTAACTTAGAAATCAGGAGTCTTGTGATTTTTTTTCATGAGAGTTGGTATTACTGTGTAACCTGTAAGTTTTGCAGCCTGGGCAAAACCCTGCCACAGATCAGAGGGGGAGGGATCAATCTTAGTTAAGGTCTCTGCCTGCTACTGCTGCAATGCAAACTCCCTAAGGGGTTGCCATTCTGGAATCCCCCCATAGTCAGCACCCAGGGCTGGTGTTTTACTTGTCCACCCCTAGTTATGCTACTGGTTTCAAGCCATTTTATTTTCACAGTAAGTGTTCTGTTTTCTATTTAGACAGAAACCAAAGAGTTTTTAAATAGAAGTCTACGTGATAACTGGTTCTTGGCACAACACCAGCATTTTGCACCTCCAAAGCGATCTAAATATTAACTGCTTAAGCCTCACACCACTCTTGTTATAGATGTAATCAGAGGCTGAAAATACAAGTTAGCTTTGTGCCTTTGTGAACATTTTTGTGGCGGAACAAAGGCCAAGCAAACAGACATCCATGCCCCTTGTTGCACCACAAATACCCAAAATTAGTTGCCACAACATAGGTGATACAAATTTATGCCATTTTTTTGTGACAGACTTCAGTTCACTTTATGGAGGAAGAATGCAGGCAGCCCTGAGCTGCCCACATTCTCCAACAGGGCGGGGCAAAGTATGGCCCAGGGGCCAGATCCAGCCTGCAAAGCCATTCTATCTGGCCTGCGGGGCCCCTAAAAAAATTTTGAAAATAAAAATACATGACTGCCCCAGCGTGGGAACCTCAGGTAAGGCAGGGAGGAAGGGCAGAGAAGGAGCTGGTGTGGGTTGCAGGGGAAAAGCAGCCCTTCCTCAGCCCTGTGGCTGGCGCCCATGCAGGGCATTCCTGAGCAGGCAAAGGCAGCCCCATGTGGGCTGCAAGCAGCTGCAGCATGGGGCACCGGCCACGGGGTGGGCGAGGGACCACTTTCCCCTCCCCTACTCAGCACCAGCTTGTAGCCTGGCCATGCACCGGTTCCAGGTTGTCCAGGCAGAGCTTGCCCACCCTCTGCTCGCAGCCTGCATGGGGCTGCCTATGCCTGCTCAGGACAGCCCTGTGTGGGCTGCGAGCAGCTGCAGCAGGGAGCAAGGGCCACAAGGCAGGCAAGGGGCCGCTTTTCCCCATGCTCCACACCAGCTCATTCCCTGCCAGTGAGCTGGGGTTCGGGGCTGTACCTTGGGGCTGGGGGGCACTGGGAGTCATAGAATCATAGAAGTAGGGTCGGAAGAGACCTTGTAGATCTTCAAGTCCGACCCCCTGCCTGGACGGGAGAAAAGACTGGACT